CTCTGCATTGTCAAGTCAATTTTTTCTTTTTCTGCTTTTTTCCTTTATTAAAGTAACAATGACAGGTGTCGGGCCTGTGCAATAATAAAAACCTGCTCAGTTAAAGTTAATTTTTGTAAATAGTGGTAAATAGGGTCGAATCCACAGGGACTGGGTGTAACTGTTTCTTTTCAAATTCACAGTAATCAGGGGGTGTTTTTGTGCAGAAGATGACAAACAAAGAAAATCTAAGAAGTTACTAAAAATTAAATAACAATCTACTAAAATCAAACGAGTGATAATTAAGAATCTAGCCAAGAAATAACTTCAGCAATGGTTCATCTAATTGATCATTGAAACAAAGGCAATTCCAATTATTTACTAATAAATAGGTTATAACTGCCAAACAAGCGATGACAGTCAACCCCTCCTTACTGTGTCGGTGATCAAGGTACGCCCGTTAATCACTGCTCTAATTAGGAAAATAATCCTAGGTACGCCCGTAAGATTTAATTCCCCAATTGCCTTACGTATTAGAGGAGCCCTATTCTAACCAAATAACACACTACCAGGGTTATTTTAGGTTAGCCCGCGTATTCCCCTGACACAAACCCAATCATGCCAGTTATCACTATTTTGAGAAAATTAAACAATTACGGATTTAACGTCCCAATTGACAATAGATTATCAAATTAACTAATTATCCGGATTCAAAATAATCAATTAATTAAACAATCATAAGCACGGTAACCAGGGAATATGCGAATACCAATAAATAAAAGAAAAAGGTAAAATTAAATCGATCTCACAATTTTAGGCAAGCCAAAGGATCCGTTGCTTCTTGACTAGAAAAAGGGGTTTAGCTCATTATTGATGGAAAAATCTCATGCAAGACTGCATAAATAGTTGCGACGTACATTCTCCCAATTAGGGAGGAAGAAACGGTGGAAAACCGAATAATGGAAGAAAAGACTACTCCTCAAAAAAGATGATGACTCCTTATTTCTACCCTAAGTGTAACATACGTGGACTCAAAACCACTAAAGGACGAAATTGTCCAAAGCCCAAGAGAAGTCTTCTGCTACTCCCCGTACCTATTGAATTACTAATCTATTCTAATGCTTGGCTCTCATGTGCGACGGCCCACCAGGAGAGAAACGACTCCAGCCTTTTGTGCTTCTTTTTGAATGTTGTCTTCTGCAAATTACCAAAAAGGATTTGTGTCTCCTTGTTTCAAAAATATCCCTGAAGACCTCCCATTTGAATTCTTTCCCGATGACTGTCAAATTGACTTTGATTGTGATATTTTTGTTCTACTTCCTGAAATAAATATAAATTATGAAAAGTGAGTAGAATCTAATAATTAATTCACATCAGGTCAGGTAATAGGGAAAATTAATAATAAAATAAATAATAAAATTGTAACCGATCAAACAACTCTAGCAATCACATTCTTGTCAACTAAGAAATTTAGTTAAATCTGATTATATTGGAATATTCCTTGACCTAAGTTAGCTTCAACTGAGGAATTACACTATACCCCAAATTCACAATCTTCCTTTCTTGAATTTAAAGGAGCTTGGTGTCCCTTGGGGATGGTACGGTTTGCACCGTCAAGTCCTTTTCTCCTCCGCTCTTTTCCTTTATTAAAGTAACAACTCTGGCAATAAGGCATTTAGTTAAATCTGATTATATTGGAATATTCCTTGCCCAAACCGAAAAAAAAAAAAAAACTTTTTCTTCATAGAAGCACTCTTTTAGTCTCTGAATCATTCTATCAAGCACAAAGCAACAAGCAGCAGGTAATTGGAAACTGAAGACAGAGATTCACAGGTTTGTATTTAATTTTCTTGATCTTTCTTTGTTATTTCACTTTCATGTCAGCTAAAATCGTTCAACTAAGCTGTTATATGCATGCCTTTTTGCAGAAGTTTAGAGTATTGTAGTATATTTTGTGTATCAAAATTATGCGGTTAATTGTTGAATATAAGTTTCAAAACAAGAAGAAATCATCACTAATACAAAAGGGATCTTTTCAACATGCATGAAATACATAAATTTTGGTCAGAAATAATTGTATGTAAAATCTGATCGCTAAAGCTGTAACGCCAATTGCAGGAAGTTACGATTCAGTTTGGAAAATGAAATTTAGTGCCTTTTAGCCCTGTAGCCGAGAATGCTGTTATATTGGAGGATAATTTGGCTAAAAATAAAAAAAAAATCAAAGATCCTACTTATGAGCATCAGTAAAGATTTGAATAAGGATATTTAATTGGAACTTTTCTGTTTTGACTATCTGAAAGTTTTTATTGGAGGGAGAGTGGTCTGGATTAGTTTATTGGATTACTAATATGACAGGGTGTCGAAGCCTGTGCAATAATAAAAACCTACTCAACTAAAGTAAATTTCTATAGATAGTGGTAAGCAGGGTCGAATCCACAGGGACTGGGAGTACTTGTTCCTTTCCAAATTCACAGTGACAAGAGGGGTGTTTTTATATCAGAGGTGACAATTTAAACAATTCAACTAAAAGTAAAATAATAAAAATAAAATAGCCAACTAGAAATTAAATAACAATTTACTAAAATCAAAGGATCTAGCCAAGGAATAACTTCAACAATGGTTCACCTAATTGATCATCGAAGCAAAGGCAATCCCAATTATTTATCAATAAATAGGTTATAACTGCCAAACAAGCGATGACAGTCAACCCCTCCTTACTGTGTCGGTGATCAAGGTACGCCCGTTAATCACTGCTCTAATTAGAAAATAATCCTAAGTACGCCCGTAAGATTTAATTTTCCAATTGTCTTACGTATTAGAGGAGCCCTATTCTAATCAAATAACGCACTACCAGGGTTATTTCAGATTAGCCCGCGTATCCCCCTGACACAAACCTAATCGTGCCAGTTGTCACTAATTTAAGGCAATTAAACAATTACGGATTTAATACCCTAATTGACAATAGATTATCAAATCAATTAATTATCCGGATCTAAGACAATCAATTAATTAAATAACCATAAGCATAGCAATCAAGGAATATGCAAATACCGATAAATAAAAGAAAAAGATTAAATTAAATCGATCTCATAATTTTAGGCGATCCAAAGCATCCGTTGTTTCCTGACTAGAGAAAAGGGATTTAGTTCATCCTTGACAAGAAAGACCCACGCAAAATTGATGCAACATGCGCGGCCATCGCCTTCGTTTGGGAGAACCCAGTTCGTTCGAATAAATGAAAGGAAGAGCAAGCCACGGCAATTGATTCAATTGTTTCTAATTGTCCAGGCATGCGAGAAGAAAACTACACCAGGATGGGAAATGGAAAAGTCAAAGTGAAACAACTACAGAGATTCATTCAATTCTCCATTTGCTCCTAACATCCACGAGAGAAGAAAGAAAACTACTAAGAGGCCCCACTAAAAATGAAGAAGAAAAGTCAAAAGCTAAAAACTCCAAAGTATTGCCTCCTCTCTCCTGTGCGGCAGCCTCCCCTCAGGGGGAAGAAGAAGCAGAAGCCCCCGTGCGGCGCTCCAGCCCCCCCAGTAAAAATAGAAGACTCTCCCCTGCTCTCTTCTTTTGAAATTACCAAAATGGGCAAAAATCTTCCTTTGCCAATAATGCCCCTGGGATAAGCTCTGTTATTTGGGCTCTTTTCTTGTTAAATTGGCACTTGTTATCATATTTTCGTTCTACTCCCTGAAATAAATGTAAAATATCAAAAGTGAGTAGAATCTAATAATGAATCCACATCGGGTCAGGTAATAGGGGAAATTAATAATAAAATAAATGACAAAATCGCACCCTATCATAATGTTGGAAAAGATGGCCATTAATCATGTAACCTTTCTTTAATCTTAAATTAGTGCATTATTAAAACATAGGCAATAGTGGTCATTTGAAACAAGAATTAGTTTAGTTTTTGTTGTGGTACTTATTCGTATCTCCTGCACCACTTTCCCTCGAGCCTTGAAGTCACTTGCTTTAGCTATGCTAACAATTATATCCGGAATCCATGAGCTAGTGGAAAAGTATTCATTGCATTGATTTAGCATCAGTAGTTTTATCTTTTACATTATAATCTTCCTCTGTTTAAGAAGTTGATTAGGGGCATGATCCATGACTTTTATAAGGAACTGGGGAATATCTATACCAGATCGATGGATAACCAAAAGGTGCATGTGCAGATAAATAAAGGGGAGAAATAAAAACTTGGCATTTGATTTTTGTTCATGTACACACACTCATGAGCTAATAGGTATGTACTTTATGTTAATGTGCACATAAATGTTAGCATGTTACAAAGTATTGGGTGGACAAATAACTTGTATCAATTGGTCAGGCACTTGATCTGATGGTGATAATATTATTGTTTCATTCCTGAGCAGATTTCAAATTCATGCTATAGTATTACAATTACTTTCTTTCTTTCTAAAATGAGTAATCATTTATACCACCAAACAGGGGTCTTGCAGCGGCAATTAGGCCTGTCAATGGGTCGGGTCTAGACCCGGATCCGGACCGGATCCGTGAAATTATTACGGGTATGGGTAGGGATTTAATTCCGTTTCCCGGATCCGGATCCGGATCCGTTTTGTCAAACAAAAAAACGGGTCGGATACGGAATATAGTATTCCGACCCGTATTAGACCCGGATCCGGATATAAATGAATTAATAATTTAAAAAATATATATTTATCAATATAATTTGATTAGGGTGATGTATTTTAATAAAGTTAATTTGATTTCTTTTCTTATTTGGTTTTTTCTTTGCATTAGTTAGAAATTAGTTTACAAATATATTTTTTTCTCATTTTTATTAGAAATTATAAATTTTGGTAAATTTGTTCGGGTAGACCCGGATCCGGATCCGGGACCCGTCGGATCCGGATCCGGAACATATAATAAAAGACCCGTCGGATAAACGGGTCGGATCCGGATCCGGCATAGTAATTCGGGTCCGGGTCCGGAATAATGAATTCCGGCCCGGACCCGACCCGTTGACAGCCCTAGCGGCAATGGACCAGAATAGTGTGGAACTGCAGGCAGAAAGAATTCTTGAACTTCTCAAGGAAAAACATGTGTCAACAATTGTTCTTTCTGGGAAATCAGGAAGTGGGAAAACATGGATGGCAAGAAAAGCTGGTCTGCTGGCAGTCAAAAAGAAAGTAGTTGACATTACACTTTGGATTTCTCTGAGTATTAGGCATGATGAGACGTCTCTTTATGAGCATATTGCTCATCAGTTATCTCTACTTTCCACTTCTGTGGAGCTGGAAAACTATGATATCCAGGAGGTAGAGAATAATGTTGGTAAGGAGGAAACCTTGGAGAGCTTGAAAGAAAAGGTACGTGCAAGACTTTCAACTGATAATGTTCTTCAGGGGGTTCTTGTAATTTTGGATGATGAAGGAAACAAAATGAGGGAAGGGGATGGAGGCTTAGAACAAGTCCTTCACTCTATCCAGCAGAATTCCCACAACCATTCAACAACAGCTGCTGATGGAGATGGACAGCAAAAACTTAAGGTGCTGATAACTTCTAGAAATGAAGATGGAAGGCACCAAACCCAGGGAGGTAAGGAAGTGGTTGAAATGATGCCTCTAACTCCAGAAATGTCAATTATGTTGTTAAAGCAAGGAGCTGTGGCAAAAGTTTTTGAAATTCCAGGTGTAGAAAGTGTAGTTGCAAAGTTCATCAATAGAAAAACAGATCTTGCACCTGGTGAAGTATCCTTGCTAGCAAAACTATTAAGTTACCATCAACAAGTTTCTGAACTGCAGGGTCAGGAACACACTTTGGAAGAAGCATGGTATGGTGATAACTACAACTGCACCCAGCTGCTCTTAAGTGGATATGAAAAGGTGTCAGATGGTGTTTTAGTTGACTTTTCTGGGCAGGGCAGCCATTTTTTCCGTGATAATGGATCTATTCACTACAGTGAGTTGATATCATACTGGATACTGGAAGGATATCTTGGTCCTGTTAATAGTCTTGAGGAGGCTTATAAGGAGGGGCACCGCATTTTGATGCACCTCATGGACTGTCAAATGTTGAAAGAAGTGAATGATGATTTCGTCCACATGGTGAGAGTAACTGGAGATGTTTCTTATCGTCATCGTCGTGGTTATGGAGGAACAACTAATCTGGGGTTGGCTAATGTGCTTGTTAAAAGTAATGATTGGCAGGGTATTGGAAAACTCACAAAGGTGGATGGTATGATCAGAACACTTGGCAGTTATAAAAGAGTGCAGCAATCATTAACACTTTTACTAGATGGCAACTGTCTCAGCAGGGAAAACCCAAATAATCTCTTACTCAGCAATCAGGAGCTGCAAATTCTGGGTCTTTTCAGTCTCGAAATTGTATCCTTACCTCATTCTTTCAACAACTTCAAAAAACTGAATGTTCTTGTGCTCAGGGACTGTGATTTCTTAGAAAAGATCGATGACATTCGAGAACTAATGACATTAACTGTCCTTGAAGTATCTAGTTCTGGCTTGGTGAAAAGTATGCCAAAAAACTTTTTTCAGCACCTGAAGAAACTTCGTAGCCTCCACTTCTCCGACTTTCAGATTGAAGTCATGCCTGATTCTTTTTATCACCTTACAGAACTCAGCTGGCTCATTCTGAAAAGGTTTTCTCATTTAACAAAGTTGCAGAGCCTGAAAGAGTCTCAAAACCTTATGGTTATTGATCTTTCTGGTGCTGCCTCCTTGCCAACTTTTCCAGAAAGAACGTGAAATCATTGCCGAAACTTCAAACATTAAATCTTTCAAACTCCAAGATCAAATCTTTGCCTATTTTTCATGAAACTGGAGAGCTTACTCATCTATCAGTTAGCGGTTGTAGCAACATGGATAGAGTGCCCGGCATTCTGTCTCTAACTAATCTGCAAGTTCTTGATCTTTCATGGTCAACCATAGTGGAGTTCCAGGACAAGTCATTTCAAAATAATACAAGTCTGAAGGTCCTTGATTTATCTGGAACTGCTATTCCTTCATTACCTGTTAACATCGGTAAACCTCGTCAGTTCTATTTGAAAAATTGCTCTGAGATAAAATACATGAATTGTATTTGAAAAATTGCTCTGAGATAAAATACATGAATTGTGTGGAATCTTCCGAAGAACTAGAGATACTTGATTTTTTAGGTGCCTGTAATCTTGTAAAAATTGAAGGAAAGTTCTTTGAATGTTTAGAAAATCTCCGAGTTCTCAACCTGTCAGGAACAAAAGTCAAAGATCTACCATCCCTTTCTGCTCTCCACAACCTCCATCAGCTGTTACTTTCATCTTGTCTGAATCTGGAGAAGTTGCCAAGGTTGGCTTCAAGCAAACTGGAAGAGCTCGATCTATCTGGCTGTAAGGCAATGACAATGATAGAAGATAAATCTTTTGAGCACCTATCTCGCCTTCGTCGGCTTGTCCTCTCTCAAACAAAGATTGTACACTTACCAGAACTCAACTCCCTCTCAAATCTTGAGGAGCTAAATTTGAGTGGTGTGACAGGGTATCGAGCCTGTGCAATAATAATTACCTACTCAAGAAAAATACAAAATCTGTATATAGCGGTGAGCAGGGTCGAATCCACAGGGACTGGGGATAATTCGTTTCTTTTAGAGTCCAAAGTATGGGGGGTTTTTGGAGAGTATAAAATATCTAATTAACTAACTAATAAAACAACTAATAGAAATAAATAGAAATTAATCAATAACCAATTATGACTCTAGCCAAAAGTGCAACTTTTCAGACACGGTCCATGCAACTGATCATCGACGCAAAGATAATTCAATTACTCATTAATAGATTGGTTATAGTTGCCATACACGCGATGAACAACCAGCCTTTCCTTAATTTCTCGATAGTTAAGGTACGACCGTTAACTATTTCTCTAACCAAGAAATAACCCTAGGTACGACCATAGGATTTAATTACTTGACTGCATAAATAATTAGAAAAGCCTAATCCTAACCAACAAACACGCTACGGGGGTTTGTTTAAGTTAGATCATACGTTTTCCTAACATGAAACCAATCACGCTAGTCGTCACTGGTATTAATCGATAGAACAATTACAGATTCAATCAATTAATATGACAGTAGATTATTAGGTTAATTCGAATATCGGGCCCTTGACATTCAAATAACAAAACAATCATAAGCAATTAAATCAGAAAACGTACAAATACCAATAAATAAAAGAAATAAATAAAATAATTAGATCTCACAGATGTTCGGAACCGAGTTCTCAAATTGACCTTCAACTAGAAAAACTTAGCCACGCCTCATAAGAAAATCTCCAAGTAATTTAACTGAGGTCCAGGCCATCAAAAGAGCCAAGAAAGAAAAGAAAACTAAAACTATGCTAAAAACTCCGATAAGAACTAATGATAAAAACTATTGATTCCCTGATCTCTATACGTCTGCTTCTTTTTAAAGCCAAAGAGGACTAATGCCTCTCCTAGTGCGTGGATCCCGCCGAATTAAGAGTCAAAGTCCAAGAAGGAAACTCTGCCGAATTGAGAGAAACCAAGTCCACAAGGTGTGTCCTGCCGAATTGCTTCTTGTTTCCTCTTGCCAGTAGGACTCCTACACGTACAAGTCAACTACCAATAAATAAGAGCTCTCCATCAGCACCCGAAAATGGAGTTTTTGTGGCACCATGCGGGCCCAACTTGTATATCCACTGGAGGCTCTAGTGTGTGCAGGATTTTCCTTAATAAAATCTCCTTTTTATCATTTGTCAGTTCCACTTCCTGTAGATAGGTCCAAATACCAAAAATAAGTATATATTAACAACTAAAACAATATTTGGCAAGGACAAAAGGGAAAATTAGCAATAAAATTACTAACAATTAGCACCCTATCATGGTGTTAAATCATTTACCGGAGCTGATTTCATAGAGCACATGAGCAAACTTCCGGTTCTAAACCTCTCCGAGACCTTGCTTGAAGAGCTACCGGCCTTAGCGAATCTCAAAAGCCTTAAGCATCTGTTTTTGAGGGGCTGTGGACAATTAGAGGTTCTCCCTCTCTTGGAAGAACTTCACAACCTTGAGACTCTTGATCTTTCTCAAACAGCACTGAGGCAACTGCCGTTTGTAGGAAGTTTGAGTAACCTGCATAAACCGTTTGACAGGTTGTCAGCCTGTGCAATAATAAAAACCTGCTCAACTAAAGTAAATTTCTGTAGATAGTGGTAAGCAGGGTCGAATCCACAGGGATTGGGAGTACTTGTTCCTTTCCAAATTTACAGTGACAAGAGGGATGTTTTTATATCAGGGGTGACAATTGAAACAATTCAACTAAAAGTAAAATAATAAAAATAAAATAGCCAACTAGAAATTAAATAACAATTTACTAAAATCAAAAGATCTAGCCAAGGAATAACTTCAGCAATGGCTCACCTAATTGATCATCGAAACAAAGGCAATTCCAATTATTTATCAATAAATAGGTTATAACTGCCAAACAAACGATGACAGTCAATCCCTCCTTACTGTGTCGGTGATCAAGGTACGCCCATTAATCACTACTCTAATTAGAAAATAATCCTAGGTACGCCGGTAAGATTTAATTCCCCAATTGCCTTACGTATTAGAGGAGCCCTATTCTAACCAAATAACACACTACCAGGGTTATTTTAGGTTAGCCCGCGTATTCCCCTGACACCAAGCCAATCATGTCAGTTATCACTATTTTGAGACAATTAAACAATTACGGATTTAACGTCCCAATTGACAATAAATTATCAAATTAACTAATTATCCGGATCCAAGACAATCAATTAACTAAACAATCATAGGCACTGTAACCAGGAAATATGCGAATCAATAAATAAAAGAAAAAAATAAAATTAAATCGATCTCACAATTTTAGGCGAATCAAAGCCTCCGTTGTTCTTTGACTAGGAAAGAAAATTTAGTTCATCCCTGATGCGAAAAATCCATAGGAAATCGAAGCAACAGTAGCGGCCATCGACTCCGAAAGTTGAGAAAATTCAAATCGTCCCAATCGATAAGAAAAGCAAACTACCAGAAGTGATAGCTAATTCCTAATTCTCCCTGACATGCGCAGGGAGCAAAGCTACTAAAGGACAAAAAATACCGAAAAAGAAAAGTCAAAGAGGAAAGCCTCCAATCTCCTGACATGCGTGAGAGCAAGCCAAAGGAATTCTAAAGGAAAGAGTTAATGAAATGTTAAGCTAGTACTCCTCATTGTTCTTCTCACAACCGTGGAGAATGCCTACAAAAGACTAAGAAGAAAAGTCAAAAAGTGGGCCTAAACTACAGGACGAAAAGCTCAAAAAGTGACCGCCGCCCTCATCCGCTGCAATCCCCCCTTTTGTATCTGATAGTCTCCCTTTCGCACTGTGCGGCGGCTCCCAGGGAAAGCAAGACGTCGGTCAAATGACCGAAAAGGGCTTGTGTCCATTTTTTCCAAAAATGCCCTTGCAAGCCTTCTATTTTATTTTGTTCCCGATGACGGTCAAAATAGCAGTAATTGTGGTAGTTTTGATCTACTCCCTGAAATAAGTGCAAATTAAGACAAATGAGTAGAATCCAGCAATTAATCCATATCAAATCAGGTAATAGAGGAAATTAATAATAAAATAAATGAATAAATTGCAACCTATCAATTCCCCCCACACCTAAACCATACTTGTCCTCAAGCATAAGAATAGTAAACAGATACCAAAATTTGATAATGGTCATTACTCTTTCTACCAAATTGCCAAGACACCAAGAAAAATAATAATCAAGCATCAATGGTCAAGTCCAAGAAACATCACTCCGGTTAGTTTCTAAACCACAAACTCCTCTAATTTCAGGTTAACTAATCTAAGAAAAAGGAATGACACACAACATTTATCAGCAAATGGTCCAACTATTAACCAAAATCTTAACATTAAATCCATAAATCGGCAAGCTGACTTTTATTATACACTAACACAACATTCACTTTTTTTCACATTTTTCTACTTTTCTCTTTTTTCTTTTTTTGATTTTTTTTCTTTTCTCCCTTTTTTTTTCAATAGTAACAAAAGACTAAGTCGCTAGCCATTGGAGTCTTTTGACGCGAACTCTGACATTTGTTAGATGAAAGAGTCCAGTTACTCAACTTCTATCGCCACGTGACTACGCACTCATAGCAATTACCATTTTTTGACGCGAGAATCAACACTTTTGGTGAAGATCCCCGGTTACTCGGTAGTAAATACTAGCGGAGTACAGTCAACTCTTATTCACAACCAAATAACACAGAAACTCAAAAAAACACAAAAATTAAAAGAGAATTTACATCAGCTAGCCTCATTTTCAAACATGGAGAACTAAGGTTAATAATCGGATCAACTCACATGAAAATGCCAATAATCATTCTCTATGCCTAGAAAAGTTAACCAAAAATTATAAGAGTAAAACAATCACCGATATTCACCAAAGAAATATTTTTGGACTCAATCACAGTAACTTGATACACTTTTATTATTAAAATTTGGCAATAGCAGAAATAGAGGCAACAATCCAACATCAAACTTGGCAGTCATAGGAGAGCTAGACAGATAAATGACAAAAAGTAAGCGAAAACTAGACAAATAACAAACTAAAAATAAAAGAAAAATATCTGAAAACTAAGAACTAGAAAAACTAATACCATAACTGCTCCCCCCCACACCTAAATCCTACATTGCCCTCAATGTAGCAAGTAAGCATCAAAAGTAGAAGAAAGTGCAACAAAACTC